TAGGCTACAGTGGGTTAGCCTATAGGGGGTACACAATTCTAGGGTTAGGTACTTGTACTGATTTCACTGTTAGTTCAATCATTCCTGTCAATTCATTTCAACACTTCCGTGATGATTTCATAATCAGGCAAGTGGGACACGATGCGACATGTGGTTGAACGTCGGTCAACATTTCGGGCCAGTAATAATACCGCTGCAGCTGCTGCCGTGTTTTCTCTACCCCGAAATGCCCTGAGGTAACTCCGTCGTGTGCCTCCCGTAAGAATAACTCCCGTAGTAGTGTGTACCCTGGTACCCAGATGCGGTCGGTCCCGGTTTTTACGAAATAGACCCCCTTTGCTGCTGCGTGTCAGATTTATATGACATAGCTACTGTAGGCTATAGTGGGGTAGCACATATGGGGTACAGCTTTCTAGGGTTTGTACTTGTACCCAACTTTCCCTTAGTCATTCCATTCTCGTTCAATTCTCACATGGTATAGAGCAGGTTCCCCTGTGGGAACTGTTCCTAGGGCCCACCGTTTTTTTTTCCTGCCCGGATCGCGCTCAGCCTATGCCCGTGTCGCGCTCCCCTCTCACGACCCCGTCGCGCCGCCTTCGCGGCCTCGTCGCGTCGTGCCTCCCTAGCGGCCCCGTCGAGTCGCCCTTGCGACCCCGTCGCGCCGCCTTCGCGGCCCCATCACGTCGCGCCGCCCTCGCGGCCTCGTCGCGTCGCCCACGCGGCCCCGTTCCGCTGCCCTCGCGGCCCGGCCCCGTCGCGCCGCCCTTGTGGCCCTTTCGCGCCGCCCTCGCGGCCTCTTCGAGCCGCCCTAGCGACCCCTCCAAGCCGCCCTCGTGGCCCCGTCACCTACCCTTGCGGCCCCGTCGCCTACCCTGCAGCCCCGTCGCCTACCCTGCTGGCCCCGGCGCCTACCCTGCAGCCCCGCCGCCTATCCTGCGGCCCCGTCGCCTTCCCCTCCGGCCCCGGCACCGCCCTTCCCGGCCCCGGCGCCGCCCTTCCCGGCCCCGGCGCCGCCTCGGCTGGCCCCGTCGCCTACCCCTGCGGCCCCGGCACCGCCCTTCCCGGCCCCGGCACCGCCCTTCCCGGCCCCGGCGCCGCCTCTGCTGGCCCCGTCGCCTACCCTGCGGCCCCGGCGCTACCCTTCCCGGCCCCGGCGCTTTCTCTACCGGCCCCGCCACCGTCCCCACGCGGCTCCGCCGTCACCACCGAGCCGCCGGCGCCGTCGACCTACTGCCGAGCCGCCCGAGCCACCTAAGCCGCCCGAGCCGCCGCGCCACCTCAGCCGCCCGAGCCGCCCGAGCCGCTGGGTCGCTGAGCTGCCGAGCCGCTGTACCGCCGAGCCGCCAGCGCCGCCGAGTCGCCGAGCCGCAATTGCTGCCGAGCCGCCGAGCCGCCGAGCCGCCCGAGCCGCCGAGCCGCCGAACCGCCGAGCCGCCCGAGCCGTCCTGTCCGGTAAGAGCAGCGCCTCTGTCACTGCACTGCCCTTACCCTATTGTTCGCGCTGCTAGTCTACTGCTGTCATGGCTACCCCTAGTGTCCTCGCTTTTGTCGCTGAGGGTCGGGCCATTGACTTTGACGTCTAGGTAGATGACATGCAGCTTCTCCTACAGTGCGATAGGGCAGACGATCTCTCCCTCTTTGACCTCACTTCTGGTGCCTCTCCTGCCCCTGCTACTGATGCTGACGCCACTGTTCGCTCACAGTGGGCCACACGCGATGCTGCTGCACGTCTTGCTGTGCGTCACCACCTGTCTACCTCTGAGCGTGCGCACTTTAATCAGTACAAGAGTGCTCAGACCTTGTACGACGCTGTAGTTGCACGCTACTCCTCCCCTCCCACTCCTGCACTGAGCCGCCTCATGCTACCGTACCTCTTCCCTGACCTTGCTGCCTTTCCCACAGTCGCTGACCTCATTACGCACCTCCGCACTAGTGACACTCGCTACCGCGCTGCGCTTCCTGCTGAGTTCTGCGCCAAGAACCCCCCCCCCCCCCCCCCCCCATGTACATCACCCTCTACTACATAGTCACCCGGCTCCCTGACTCCCTTCGCGTAGTCAGGGACCACTTCCTCTCAGTTTGCCCCACCACTCTCACCGTTGACCTCCTCGAGAAGGCCCTCCTAGCAGCAGAGAAGAGCATAGTAGCTATAGGAGCCTCTCGTGGTGACCCTCGCACCCCCATCTTTGAGGGGTGTTCCCCCTACCCCCCTTTTGCCCTCTACTGCCTCTGCTGCTGCGGCCGACCTTGTTGGTCTTGAGTCGGTCGGTGCGGCGTCTACCCCTAGCGGGAGATGCCGCCCTAGCAAGGGCAAGGGGGGCAGGGGCGCTGGAGGAGCTAGCGGGGGCGGTGGAGGTGGAGGTGGAGGCGGCGGAGGGGGTGGGAGTGGCGGTGGGGGTGGTGGCGGGGGTGGAGGTGTCGGTGGCGGCAGTGGAGGCGGAGGCGGCGGCGGTGGTGGCGGTGGGAGCGGAGGTGGCGGAGGTGGCGGCGGTGGGAGCGGAGGAGGCGGTGGCGGAGGAGGTGGAGCTGGTCAGGGTGGCGCTGCGCAGAGGGTCGGCTCCGGTGGTGGTCACCGCCAGCAGCAGCAGCAGCAGCGCACTCGTGACATCCCCCCCCCTCAGCAGCTCCGTGAGTGGTACGCTGCACGCCAGCGGGGTGGGGGTACTGGTCAGTGCACCTACGTCCTACGCACCGACGACCGCGCGGGTGAGCAGTGCGGGGGTGCGCACTCCACCCAGCGCTGCTTTGGCCGCCTGACGGACGCTTCGCGTCACCAGTTCCCGGAGGCCGCTGAGATCCCCCGCTGGGGCGAGCTGTCAAGGGCGGGAGTAGCTGTCTTTGACCTTGAATTTGATGCTATTCTTGCTGCCATGTATGCTGTGACTATTAGTGATGAGGGTGACTGTTACCGGTGTTTTCCGCCCGACCCGGGCATTGAGACTGCTGCTCTAGGTACTGTTGAGGCTGCTGCTCTAGGTGCTAGCGAGGCTGCTGCTCTAGGTGCTCGTGCGTGTGCTCCCTCAGGTGCTGGTGAGTCTGCTCTCTCAGGTACTGTGTCGGCTTCGGCCTCCCACACCTTCACCCTTGACTCGCGGGCTTCTCGCTCCTTCTTTCGAGACCGCACCATACTCACGCCGCTTGGCCGGCCAGTTGCAGTCTCTCGGGCAGACCCCTCTGGGGGTCATGTCCTTGCTCACTTCTCCACTGTCCTCCCGTGTCCGGCGGCCCCCTCTGGCACCCTGTCTGGCCTTTACCTCCCCTCGTTCTCTACGAATTTGGTGAGTGGTGCTGACCTACAGGATGCGGGGGCTCACCAGTTCACTCCTGCGAGTCAGCGGGTGACCCACTGCACGGACGCTCGGACAGGCCGACACCTTGCCACGTTTACACGTCCGCCGGGGTCGAGCCTGTACACACTGACCACTGCGTCTCTATTGATTGTGTAGGTGGTTGTTGTATTTTGCTCTAGCTGGTTGTGGGCTAAGGGTTTGGGCAAAATGTGGTGGTTAGACTTGTTGCGGGCTGGAATTGTTCTCGCACCCAACAAGCACCAACAAACCTTTGCTATTCACTACAACAACTTTGGTGTTGCTAGTTTAGCACTGTGGGTTGTTGGGGATTGTTGTAGGGCGAGGGTTGGGTTGGTAGGGTTTGAACAACTCGTCACTTTTTCAGATCTGAACTCTTGCTAAAGCTACTTTCTTGAACTAATCCATGGCTGCCTAGTAATTCCGCCAGGATACACCGTCGCACTTAGATCGCGATAGCGATCGGCCTAGATCTTTGTTGAAAGCGTGCGTTACTATTCTGGAAAGTAGAGATTAAGACCTTTCTAACGCGTACCTGCTCATAGTTTAAGGTTACGTGAGCTGCACGCAATGTTCCGTCGAAGTCGGCGGACTTAATCTCTTGTACGCTCTCCAGATTCGCTCGCTTTCCATCAGTGGTATCAGAGCTGGTTAGGCCTGCGACATTCCCTCTTTTCATCATATTTCGAATTGGTTGAAGGACCTCCAGATCTAGGGTTGGTCATGGCCCAGAAATTAGATGGCCCTGCTAGGTTCACTGGCTCGGATTTTTCGCTATGGCGGTTCCAGTTTACGCTTTGGCTAGGTATCAAAGACCTAGAAGGCGTTTTGGAGGGATTGGAGCGAAGACCTGAAGCTGATGAAGGAAAAGCATCTACTGGAGTCTCTAGCCAAGTGGGAGAAGGGGCTGGGGGAGCCTCTAGTTCATCCATAACTGAGGGAAGTGGAGGTGGATCAGCAGCATCGCGAACCGGAAGGCAACGGCTTAGTGCGGAGGAGCTTCTTAAGGCACATGAAGCATGGGACCGCAAGGACAAGCAAGTGTTCCAGTACCTGTGTTGGGCCTTGGAAGGCCAACTAGAGCTCCTAAAGATGCTGATTGACCTGAAGGGCAAGCAAGGAGCAGCTGCACTAGCATGGAAGAGAGTTCAAGATCGACATTTGCAAAAGGGGTTGCTAAGCATACTCACCTGGAGGAAGCGGTTCTACACCATGGAACGCAACTATGGCGATGGGGAGACCATGGTGCAGTATCTCCAGAGGGTGGATGAGTATGTGAGAGCCTTAGAGGAGTTGAACTACACTGTAGATGAGAAGGAGATCATCTACACCGCACTCCAGGGGCTGGACCAAGAGGTGAACGAGGCCCTACTGCAGTACCTTCACCTTGAGCAACAGAAATGGACCAAGGCCTGGATATGGGAGGTGTTGGTCTCTGATGAGGCTCGCAAACGGGATGCTGGTAGAATAGTTGAAGGGGGAACGGGGGCAGGGGATAGGGCTACCTCCAAGAAATACCAGCAGCGGCAAGGAGGTGGGGGGAAGAAGAAGGAGCTCGACAAGTGCCTCGTCCCTGGATGCAACCGAAAGCATTCTTGGAAGGAGTGTTGGAGCCGTCCTGATGGGTGGAAGCCTCAAGGGTACCCAGGAGAGGCTCCACCTGTCACTAGGCCTGAGTGGGTGGAGAGGAGGATGAAGAATGGAGCATGGAACAAGAAGGGCAGCAAAGAGAAATCGGCAGCAACGGCGGCAAACGAGAATAAGAAGGGAAAAGAGGACTCATCAGATGATGGTTTCTCCTTCTTATCCTTGGAGAAGGAGACGGCGCTTGCTGGTCGTGTGTTGGCTGACCCCAATCAGCTCATTCTAGACTCTGGGGCAACCTGTGGAATGGTACCTCGGCGCGACCTCTTCACCACCTATCACTCCCTCCCACCTAACTCTAGAAATGTGATTGTGGGGAGCGGAGATACGCTGCAAGCAATCGGCATCGGCACCATCACCGTCATGGGGAAGGAGGGGGAGGTGCTGAATGTGAAGGGTGTGCTTCATGTTCCTGATTTGGCAGCCAACCTTCTCTCATGCTCTCAACTTGCGAGGCAAGAATACATATGCACCTTCACCATGGAAGGTGGCACGGTTCGCAAGGGTGGAGCTGTGGTGATGGAGGCCAAATTAGAGAAGGGCCTATACCTTGTTCCAGTTTGTGTGCCTCAGGTGGAGAGGGCACATGGAGTTGAAGCCGAGGAAGCCGCTTGTAGCAGCTGTTGGAGGGACGTGGAGCAGGTGACGGCAGATTTGCTGCACCTACGCATGGGGCATGCAGGAAGGCAACAACTTGTGGAGTGTGTGAAGAAGGGGGAGCTGAAGGGTGTGGAGATCAAGGAGGGTGGTGGGCAGCCAAGCAAGTGCCCTGATTGCACGACCGGGAAGCTGCCAAGGACCTCTTTCCCTACCTCCACCACTCGAGCCTCCGCACCTCTTGAGTTGGTGCACACGGATGTGTGTGGCCCCATGCAAACACCGGATAGGGAGAAGGGCAGCAAATACTTCATCATCTTCTTGGATGACTTCAGCCGCCTAAGCTGGGTTACCTTGGTGAAAACCAAGGATGAGGTGGCCAAGGTCTTCAAACGTTGGATACGCTATGCGGAGAGGGAAGCCGGGGCGAAGGTGAAGATACTAAGGTCTGATCGGGGTGGGGAGTACATGGGGAAGGATCTGGAGTCTTTCCTTGAAGACAAGGGCATCACCCACCAGCTTTCAGTTGCCTACACGCCGCAGCAAAATGGGGCAGCGGAGCGGCTTAACCGGACGCTCATTGACCTTGCCCGAGCCATGCTTGCTCATGCGCAGCTGGACCATACTTGGTGGGGGGCAGCAGTGCAATATGCCAACTGGGTTAAGAACAGAATGGGCAGCAAGGGGCTAGGGGGCAAGAGCCCTTACTTCATGTGGACCAGGAAGGTGCCTAGTGTGTCCATGGCACGAGTGTGGGGGTGCATGGCGCAGTACAAAGTGCCCGACCAGCAACGGAGGAAACTGGATCCTAAGGCACAATGGGGCATTTTTCTTGGGGTGTCGGAGAGAAGCAAAGCTTGGATGTTGCGGAGTGTGGCGGATCAGCGGGTGGTGGAAAGCAGGGATGTGGTTTTCCACGAGGGGCTGAGCTATAAGGGGTGGAAGGAGCATGGTGCTAGTACAGTTGGGAGCTCCCTTCAGGATCCCTACACCTCTTCCATCTTTGAGGGGGCATGGGAGGACCCTGGAGAGGAGGTAGAGGAGCAGCAAGAGGAACAAAAGGCAGCTGCACCTCACCATGAGGAGTCACCAACTGCTAGTTCTACCCCTGACCTAACGCACCAGCCCATGACCCGGAGCAGCCACAGGAGCAGCAGCAGCAACAAGAGAAGCCGCAGCAGCCACCACAGGAGCATACACCGCCCGTTCATGTGGGTAGGTGGCAGCAACTACTGCAGCAGCAGCTGTCCAAGTCACCACGGTCCCCCATGAAGAGAGTGACTTGGAAAGAGAAGCTGCAAAGTTTGGAGCAGGGGGAGGCTTCACCTCTGCGCCGCACCACACGCATCTCCCGGCCACCTGAAAGGTTGACACCAAGTGCACAGTATGCTTGCATGCATGATCATGAGGTGCATGACTTGGAGGAGTGCATGCTTGTGGATGCTGAGGGGGGTGAGCTTGGGCTTGATTTCTGTCTCATGGATCAGGTGCATGAGCCCAAGTCGGTCAAGGAGGCCTTGTCCCGTCCTGAGTGGGTCGAGTCCATGCGTGCGGAGCTTGAGTCTCATAGGGTGAACGAGTCTTTTGAGCTGGTTGATCCAGCTTGTGTGCCACCTGGAATGGAGGTCTTGAGGTGTCAGTGGGTGTGGAAGTATAAGCACATGGCTGATGGGAGTATTGAGAGGCCTAAGTCCAGGTTGGTGGCCATGGGGAACCCTCAAACACGAGGCGTTCACTATGACCAGGTATATACCCCAGTGGGTAAACCTACCACCCTGAGAGGTTCCCTTGGGATGGCAGCACCCTCGGGGTCTCACATCCATCACATGGATGTGACCACTGCCTATCTTCATGGGGTCTTGAAGGAGGAGCTGTACATGAGGCAGCCCCCTGGTTTTGATGATGGGTCCGGCAGAGTTTGCCGACTCAGGAAATCAATCTATGGGCTAAAGCAAGCTCCAAGGCAGTGGTACCTCAAGTTTGACGAGGCGCTGATGGATTTTGGGTTTGAGAGGTCGGAGTGTGACCCCGCCTTGTACCACTTGGTGAGGCATGAGGGCCGGCTGTCCCTCTACCTCTATGTGGATGACATTCTGCTCATGTCTTCGAGCATGGTCTTGCTGGACGAGGTGAAGGGTCTCTTGTCCTCTCGTTTCCGCATGAAGGACTTGGGGGAGGCTAAGTACTATTTGGGGGTGCAGATTGAGCGTGATCAGAGTGGCATCTTGATTCATCAGGAGAGGTACATTCTCAACATGCTTGAGTCCTTTGGCCTTTCTGAGGCTAACCCCGTGCGTACCCCTCTCCCTACAGGGTTCGACGTGCATGCACATGCTGAGGAGCCCTTGCTGCGAGATGAGCTGGTCCAGCTCTATCAAAGTATTGTGGGGTCTCTCATGTATGCAAGCACGACCACACAGCCCCAGATTGCTTATGCAGTGTCACAGCTGTCCAAGGTGGTGTCTTGTCCCAAGGCATTTCACCTGCAGGTTGCCAAGAGAGTGCTAAGGTACCTGAAAGGTTGTGTCAAGTCAGGTATATTCTACCCCGCACACAGCAAGCCTCAGGTTGAGTTGGTGGGCTTTAGTGATGCTGATTATGCTGGAGATTCAGCTGATCGCAAGAGTCACACCGGCTATGTCTATTGCCTTAATGGTGCAGCCATCTCTTAACAGAGCAAGAGGCAGCCGGTGGTTGCATTGTCTACCACTGAGAGTGAGTACATCAGTCTGTGTCAGTGCATTCAGGAGGGTGTGTGGCTGAAGCGTTTGTTTGGGGAGTTAGGGCATGAGTTTGCTGGTGGTGTGCCTGTGTTTGTGGACAACCAGTCTGCCATTGCCCTTGCACAGAATGCATGCTTGCATGGCCGCACCAAGCACATGCAGGTTCGGTGGCATTTCATCAGGGAGATGGTGGCAAGCGGAGAGGTGATCCTCCGGTGGTGCCCAACCAACCGTCAAGCGGCAGACATACTCACCAAACCCCTTCCTTTTGAGCGGCATGGTGTGTGCATGTCCTTGATGGGGATGCAGCCCCATGTCAGCATGGTGCCTGAGCAGGATGTGGGAGGACTGGTGCTTCTCTGCCTTGACGACCTCATGCTGTGGATGGCGCCCCTCCCTGGGCAAGGGGGAGTGAAGTGAAGGATTTTGCCCAGTGGTGTTCAGCCACCTCCACCACAAGCAAGGGGGAGTGTTGATTGTGTAGGTGGTTGTGGTATTCTGCTCTAGCTGGTTGTGGGCTAAGGGTTTGGGCAAAATGTGGTGGTTAGTTGCTATTCACTACAACAACTTTGGTGTTGCTAGTTTACCACTGTGGGTTGTTGGGGATTGTTGTAGGGCGAGGGTTGGGTTGGTAGGGTTTGAACAACTCGTCACTTTTTCAGATCTGAACTCTTGCTAAAGCTACTTTCTTGAACTAATCCATGGCTGCCTAGTAATTCCGCCAGGATACACCGTCGCACTTAGATCGCGATAGCGATCGGCCTAGATCTTTGTTGAAAGCGTGCGTTACTATTCTGGAAAGTAGAGATTAAGACCTTTCTAACGCGTACCTGCTCATAGTTTAAGGTTACGTGAGCTGCACGCAATGTTCCGTCGAAGTCGGCGGACTTAATCTCTTGTACGCTCTCCAGATTCGCCCGCTTTCCATCAGTCTCCTCCTGTCACTGCATCTGGTCAGGTAGCTGCGTCGGGTCAGGTGTTTGCTGCAGCGTCCAGGTCTGGTCCTGAGTCTGCTCCCTGCTCGTGTCGCCTCCTGTCTCACGAGACTCTCCTCTGGCACCACCGTCTTGGTCACCCCTCCCTGCTTCGTCTCCGAGGCATGGCCTCTCGTGTCCTTGTCTCTGGTCTTCCCCGGTCCCTCTCTCCCCGTCCTCCGAGGCCTGGCCCTACCTGCGTCCCCTGTGTCAAGGGGCCGCAGCGGGCTGCCCCTCACTCCTCCCAGTTTCCTCCGACACAGGCTCCACTGCAGACGCTTCACATGGACGTGTGGGGCCCGGCCCGCGTCCGTGGACAGGGTCACGAGCGCTACTTCCTGCTGGTAGTTGACGACTACTCGCGTTACACCACAGTCTTCCCCTTGCGCAGCAAGGGTGATGTGACTGAGGTGTTGATCGACTGGATCCGCGCAGCTCGTCTCCACCTCAGGAGGAGCTTCGGCTCGGACTTTCCTGTTCTGCGTCTGCACTCTGACAGAGGCGGAGAGTTCTCCTCTGGCCTTCTGCGAGCCTACTGTCGGGCACGAGGCATCCGCCAGACCTTCACGCTTCCGGACTCTCCACAGCAAAATGGGATTGCTGAGCGCCGCATTGGCATGGTCATGGACGTCGCCCGTACGTCCATGATGCATGCGGCTGCCCCCCATTTTCTGTGGCCGTTTGCGGTGAGGTACGCGGCGCATGAGATCAACCTTCACCCCAGGGTCTCCATGCCGGAGACCTCCCCAGCTTTGCTGTGGACGGGGAAGGTTGGCGATGCGTCTGCGTTCCGTGTCTGGGGATCTCGGGCGTTTGTCCGCGACTTGTCTGCGGACAAGCTGTCCCCTCGTACTGCTCCTAGCGTCTTCCTTGGCTTCCCCCCTGACGCGCCAGGGTGGCAGTTCTACCACCCCACCTCTCGCCGTGTTCTGTCCTCCCAGGACGTCACGTTTGACGAGCCGGTCCACTACTACCGCCTCTTCCCCTACCTCACTCCGTCCCTCCCCCCGCCACCGCTCTTCCTTGTGCCAGGTCCCCCCTCGATAGACCCCCTTCCCCCTCAGGGTCCTGCCCCTTCAGGTGTGTCCCAGGTAGACGCAGTCGAGCCTGTCGAGGTTACTGGTGACTCTGGTGCTGCTGAGGGTGCTGAGCCTGGGGGTGCTGACTCTGGGGGTGCTGAGCGTGTGGGTGCTACGCCTGGGGGCGCTGAGCCTGGGGGTGCTGAGCCTGGGGGTGCTACCACTGAGGGTGCTGAGCCTGGGGGTGCTGAGCCTGGAGGTGCTCCGCCTGGAGGTGCTGAGCCTGGGGGTGTGGAGCCTGAGGGAGCTGGGCCTGCTCGTGTGGCGTCTGGCGGTGCTGGGCCTGGAGGTGCTCCGGGTGCTTCGTCTCGGCGGGAGCCACTCTCTCCACAGGAGCTGCGCGAGTGGCTTGCCCGGCGCTGGAGGCGAGCTACTGAAGCTGGAGGCTCTTCGGCTGCTGAGGGTGCTGGTGCCGCGGGTCCTGGAGGTGCTCGTACTGGGAGTACTGGAGCTGTAGGGCCTGCGGGTACGACTGGAGCTGGAGCTGCTGAGGGTGTTGGCGCTGAGGCTACTGCTGTCGGTCCTGGAGGAGGTCTTGCTGAGGGTGCTACTGGTGCTACTTGGGGTACTGGAGCTGGAGGTGCTGCTGGCGCTGGTGCTGCCGCTGGGGGTACTGGTGCTGTCCCTGCTGTGTCTGGAGTAGCCGCGCGGCCTCGGCCGTACTTCGTTCCGCTCCTTCAGCAGGTTCTTGGTCTCCCGCCTTCTACTGGTACTCCTCCTCCCTTAGAGTGTCCACAGCCTGTCCCGTCACAGTTACAGTTACAGCCGGCCTCCCCACTTCCTGCTCCTTCTCCCTACACTGGTCCTACTGGAGGTCTTGCTGAGCGTCGTGAGCCTGCGTCTCGCCCTGCGTCGCCTGTCCGTCCTGCTCGCACTAGTGGTCGTGGTTCGCGTCAGCGTCCTCCTCCTGTCCCTGGCACGCACCGGATGTCTCTACGTCCGTCCACTGCTCCTCTGCGTGCCCCTTTGCCTTCTCCTCCTGAGTCCTCGCTTCCTGCTCTTGCCAACCTGGAGTCGGATTCTCTTCGTGCTGCCAGTCCTACTGTCACGCGTCTCCTTGCTACTGTCGTCACTGACCCTTCCTTTGAGTCCACTGCTGCGTCTGCCCTAGTTGCTGAGCTGGTCGACTTCACGCAGCGGTCTTCACAAGGTTACACCTTCAGCCTTGGTTCCGGCTCTGTCTCGTGGCGGGCTACCCGCTCGTCTTCTGTTCTCGGCTCCAGTTGTGAGGCTGAGATCTACGCCGTGGCCATGGTTGCACAGGAGCTTTGCTGGCTCACCTACCTGCTGACTGACCTCGGAGAGCCGCCTCGTTCTCCTCCAGTGCTGTACGTAGACAACAAGGCCATGCTGGCCTTGTGTTGAGAGCAGAGACTGGAGCACAGAACGAAGCACATTGCTCTCCGCTACTTCCTTGCTCGTGAGCTACAGCAGCGTGGTTAGCTGTGCCTTGCGTACGTGGCCTCTGAGGCCAACACTGCTGATATCTTCACCAAGGCGCTTGCGCCTTGTGATCATCAGCGCTTCTGTACTCAGCTGGGTCTTGTGCCTACCTTGCCTCACTTGCTCACCCCTTGACCTTGTTTGTACTGTTGCATATATATATACACCTGCTCTTGCTTGTGTAGCCTTATATATATATGCAATCCTGCATGTGAACTGGCCTTGTGGCCTTGAACTTGTGCTCGGAATGTGTGGTGACTTTGTGATCCACCCTGA